TAAAATTTAAAGGAGATTCTATTCAAGAGGAAAATAAAGAAAGGAAAATAGAAATTATTTATTCATTTTTATAAATTAAAAAATTTTTTTGTACTTCCTATTTTATTTTTACAATTTTTCCATTTTCTGAACAAACAATAATATTGTTTTTTTTTTGTGGGTGGGGGAATATTTTCATTTTTTAAAAATAGATCCTGAAAATATTGTTATACAGGGAAACTTTAGCACCGGTAGAAGAAAAGACAGGGAAAAGCATTGTCTGCTTTTCTTTTTTACTTTTTTTTTTCTTTGCAACGAGATTTCATAAGATATTTTCTAACCAAAATCATATAATATTTACTAACTTTGACAGTAAAGGTATATATTTTCTCATCTATTCGTTAATTTTAATCACATTTTTTTTATAGTACAAATAATATAATTGTAAAAATACCTTAATTGCATGTCTCATTAATTTTATCACACTGTCATATTATATTTTGGCATCTGCAAGTTTGTATTAAAAAAAAATCGGAATGTTTTTCTATTCTCAATGTTTTATATAACGATAAATAGAATACTTATAAAAAAATTTTATTTTATACATAATTACATAAAAATTTTTTTTTTTTACTTATATTCTTATGTCTATATTTAAATAATCGTTAGAATCTTATATATTTAATTTTATTTTTCCAAAGGAGAATTTTTATAAATTGCAAGAATTTGTGTAACAAATAAAAATGATTTTCGTTTTTGTTTTCGAAAAAAAATGACTTGCACAACATTTTGTTAATTAACCTATATAAATTTTTGACCAGAATTCTTGTCAAGCAAAGCAAAGGTGGTTGATTTTATGACCTTTATTACAATCATCATCGCAGTGTCGTATATATAAAATTTATTTTTAAAAAAAAAGTAGGTTAAATCGACAAAATATCTTCTTGACGTTGTAAATATTCATTTATTTGATTTCAAGTAAATACACTTCAAAAAAAAAAAAAAAAAAAAAAAAAAGAGTACTGGTAATTTGTTAACTAAGTTTGTTAAACGTATTATGCACATAATTTAACTAACATTATTCCTTTTCGTGAAAAAATAAATTATCAACTAAGATTACCTTTTATCGTTGGCAAAACTTCAATCTATTAACACACCAGTTGTTGGACGAGTGTAACGGACTCGAAGGTTACTTTATCAGCTGTGAACGCAAGGTGAATGGAAATTTTTTTTATTTTACTAAAAAAAAAAAATAAAAAAGAAAAAGAAGGGTAATCTTATACATTCTTCGTGTAATGTCGTTTTATGAAAATTATACAACATAAATATTGTCACACGGAAGTTAATAAAATTGAATTTATAATTTATTGGTTTCTCTCGAAAAAGGATTATAAACTGTTTACTTTTTTTATTTATTATTATTATTATTATTATTATTTTTTAACTTTTTTTTTTATTGTAGTTTTTTTATTTTATTATTATTTTTTAATTTTATTTTTAAGTATTATATTTTTTTATTAGTTTATTAATAATAGTTTTTTAGTTTCACAAATAATTATTATTGTTTACTTTTGTCACTTTATTATTATTTTCTTAATCAGATTTTTTGTAGCTTTACGAATTATTATTATTATTGTTTTTTCCTTATTTTTATTATTTAATTTTTTTATTATTAAGATTTTTTGCAGTTTATTGTTATTTATTTTTGCATTTTTATTATTTTTTTTTTATTATTATTATTTTTGATTACTAAGATTTTTTGCAGTTTATTATTATTTATTTTTTCATTTTTATTATAATATTTTTTGTCTTTTTATTATTATTATTTTTTGTCATTTTGGATTAATAAATTTTTTGTAGTTTAATGAATAGTAAAAATTGTTCGATTTCTATTTATTTATCTGAGAATGGCATCAGTAAATAACTTCTTTAGAAACTTGAGAAAAAAAAAATCTCTTAAACAGATCATTATTTATTTATTCGCACATTGATAAATATACTTTATTGTCGTGTAAAAAAGAAGTAATTGCTTTTCGAAGCAACTACGATTTAACGTTTATTAAGATATATTTGTAGTTCTTTTTCTCTCTCTCAAATAATCGAGAAGGAAATAAATAATGTTTATTGTTCATTTTGAGAAGAAAAAGAGTCGATTTGTAGCTTTTTTTTAATTCATCCAGTTTAGAAAAATTCTTCTCTATTATAAATTTACAAACGGAAATAAAATTAATTAGTAAAATAAAATTTTTTTTTGGTTAAAAAGAAGAAGAAGAAAATACCAATAAAATAAAATGATTAAAAAAAAATTAAAAGAATGAAAAAAAATATTTTTAAAAAAATATATATAGGTATATATATTAAATAATTACTATTATTAATAATTAATATTAAATTAAAACAACAGTAGGGGAATTATTCTTTTTAGTCATTTAATTATTTTTTATTCAAATGCTGTAATTGGAAATATTAGCAAATTTTAATTAAATTTAAATTATAATTTTAGTATTATTTACTGTTAGTGTTCATTTTTCTTTTTGAAATTTTTTTGTTTAGTATTTTTTTGCAGTGAATATAATTTATTATTAAATTGTTTTTTCTTTTTGAAATTTTATTGTTTAGTATTTTTTGCAATACTTATTTTTTTATAATTCACTTTTTCTTTTTGAAATTTTTTGTTTTAGTATTTTTTACATTAATTATTAGTAAATAATTACTATTAATTCATTTTTTCTTTTCGAATTAAAAAAATAAAAATTTTGATTCGCTTCATTTCAAGTTCAAGGGTATTACAAATTAATTACTTCAGTAATGACGGTGAATTTTCCATGTAGTATTACGTATAAAAGAGGATTTAAATCGTTAAAAACGGGATTCAGTTAAAAAAAGGATTTTTCCAATTAGGTAAAAAATTATTTTTTTTTAATTGCAGCTTTTTTTTCATCATATTTTTTGGTTCAAATTTTTTTCTATTAATTATTCATATTTTTTTCTATAACTTTTTTTGTAGTTTGACAATTTTCTAAATTTTCAATCAAACTTTTTGTTAGAATTGTTTTGTTGAAAAAAATTATTAAAAGTTGAATAAAATAAATTTTTTTTAAATTCCTTAAATTTTACTAGTTCTAAAAGTAAATTTCAGTAAAAATTGGTAAAATTTCAATTGACTACATTTTTTTTCACTATATTAAAAATAAAAAAATTTACTTTAATAGAAAAATTAGTTATTTGGTTATTTTATTATTTTTTATCATAGTTTTTTTTAAGGATATCAAATTGAGAGAAAAAACGTATCAAAGCTGTTGAATCGCAACAAGAAATAAATTTATTTTCATCAAATTTAGCATTAAAGTTCTTTTTAGAAATTTTTTTTTTGTTTTTCTGTTAATTGTAGTTTTTTTTGTTCAATTTTTTTCTATTAATTATTATTTTCTTTCTTTCTTTCATAGTCAACAATTTTTCTAAATTTTAAATCAAAACTTTTGTTAGACAACTGCTTTTGTTTTAAAATTACATTAATTAAAAAAAATAAATTTTTTTACAATATTCGAAGTAAATTTCAGTAAAAATTGGTAAAATTTACTTCGGACTTGGTTAAATTTCCTCTAAAAATATTGAAAAATTTACTATTAAAAATTGACAAATTTTTATTTTCAGAATAACTTTTACTAATTTCAAAGAAAATTTCTTTGTAGAAAATTAAAAAAATTTACTTCAGAAACAGTAAAATTTACTCTGGTAATAATAATTTTTGATAACAAATTGCACTTACGTTCGAAGAAAGTTTGAAAAAATTTTCAACAAAATTTAACTTTAAAAATGGTAAAATTTTCCTATTAAAAGTTGTTATTTCCCTAGTAAATTTTTTAATACAAGTAAATTTTATTAAAAATTTGTAAAATATACTTTTGAGTGAGTAAAATTTATTCTGGAAATAGTAAAAGTTGAGACAGAAATTTCAGACAATTTAGAATTTACTTTGTAAGTAGTAAAAGTTATTTTGCAATTTGTATAAAAAATTTCCAAATTAAAAAAACTCTGAGATAATAGTATTAAAAAGATTTTCAAAAGTTGCAAAAAACTAAAATTTTTCATCTTTCGAATGAATGAATCAGTAATTTATGAAAATATTTTCAATGAAATATTTTTTAATAAAATTATTAGAATGAAATTAAAATATTTTTTCTGAAAAATATTTCCCTAAATTACTGATTGCAATAAAAATCTAAAACTGAAATTTTACATTTCGAATTTTTGTAATTCGGGTTTTTTCATAGTGACGCAAAATTATTATAATAAAAATTAAATTTGAAGAAGAAATAAATAATTATGCTTCATTTGAGAGTTGAGAAGTTGAGGACTTCTTTTTGAAGTCTTTTTTCCAAAGTTTGCAAGAAATAGACATTTTTTTCGTCAACATAACTAAAAAGTTTTCTACTTTATAAAAATTGTCACTTTTTTGTAAGTTAGAAAAATTTTTCTTACAAAAAAAAAGGAAAAAAAAGGGGGAGAAGTCCATGATTTTGAGGGATTTTTATTAATTGATGGGAAGAAAATAGAAAAAATGGGAAAAATTTGCATGTTTTTTTAGGTGTTTTAGGAAATAATTTAAGGGATAAAAAAGGAGAAAATAAAAAAAAGAGAAATTTTTGTATATAAGGGAACAGACTGTGATTTTTATTATTATTATAAAATTTAAATTATTTTTAAAATTATTATTTTTAAATTATTATTAAATTAATTAAAACAGATAAAAATATTGTCTCAGTGAATGATTTTTTCTTGCGAATAAGAGAAAGAAAAAGAATAAAATAAAAAGAAAATAATAGAAAATAAATAAAAAAAAATAAGAGAAAATGACAATTGACAAAAAGGAAAAAAAATAGAAAGAGAGGAGACTGACTCTCTCGAGATCAAGATTAATCGCAATTATAGTTTAGATGTTGTTGGTGCAAGGAAAAGAAAAAAGAAAAAAGAAAAAAAAATTTTTTTGTTAAGAGAAAAAAAATTGGGCTGTGTTATAGAAAAAAGTAAGTCGAGTAGGAGTGGGCGGAGGGGGCCAAGTCGGTCAAGGGGTACAACCGGTCGAAGAATCCGGTACCGGTGGTCAATGGTGGAGACAGCAACATCCTTCGTATCATCATTATCATCAACCTCATCATCACCACCACCATCACCATCATCATCAAGGCAATTATTATACGTCCCAATCGCATTCTCACAACAATCCAGTTGCCACTATGAAGCAGTCTTACATGCAGGTTCGTCTCCTCAAAAAAAAAATCAAAAAAAAAAAATCTGTCGTTTTTCTTTTCAACTTTCATTTTTTTATCCAAAAATGAAAAAAAAAAAATTTGTCCTTCTTGTTTCGTTGTCTCGAGAAAAAAAATTGTAAACAATTCGTTTTACACTGGAACCTCTATCGATGGTTGGAAAAAAAAAATTATCGATCGAGATAAATAATAATCGGAAATAATTTTTCGAAAATATACTTGCGGTCCTCCCTTCGTCCTGCGCAGTGAAAATAAAAGAAATTTTTTTTTTAGGTCTCAGGATAGAGATTCCAGTGTGTTGTTCTTATTTTTTCTGTGCAAGGATTGCAAAATTTTTTCTCCCGTCTATCGTTTTCTTCTCGTATTATTATTTTTATTATGATATCAATTTAAAGGCAAATGAGAAATAATAGTTTAGAATTATGACTGTATAGTTTGACAGAGATTTTTTCTTTTCTTTCAGCTGACATGGGTTTTTCACGATGACGAGGCCCAAATTAATAAAAAACTGCCAAAGGAATTACTTCTCAGGTAAAATTTGTTAATTTATTATTTTTTAATTATTTTTTTAGAATAAAAATTAATATTTAACATAAATAATTATTTTATTATTTTATTATAATAATAATTATTATTATGTCACTGAAAAAAAATTTATTTGATTCAAATAACCGATTACTTGGCTATTATCAATTAAATATTTACTTGAATCAAATAATATTTATTTAAATCAAATAAATTTTATTTTCATAAATAATACCATTTTTTACAGGGATTCAATATTATTTTCATAAATAATAAAACTCAATGCTGAATTTCAATTATTTTCAATAAAATTTTAATATTCTTTTTCAAAAAGATTCAATTATTTTGAAAATTTTTTTAAAAATTCTTCCCAAGAATTCAATTATTTGCATAAATAGTACAATTCATCGCAAAAATTTAATTTTTAATAAATTTAAATGATATTTCTCGAAAAAATTCAATTATTTTCAAAAATTTTAATAAAATTCTTGGCAAGAATTTAATTTTCTTCAGAAATTAAAAAATTCTTCCCATAATTTCAAAAATTTCAATGAAATTCTTCTCAAAAATTTAATTATTTTCATAAATAATACCATTTTTTCAGAGATTCAATTATTTTCATAAATAAGAAAACTCAATGCTGAATTTTAATTATTTTTAATATACAATTTTCATCAAATTTAATAACAAAATTATTCCTTAAAATTCAATTATTTTGAGGCATTTTAATAAAATTCTTTGCAAAATACAATTATTTTCATAAATAACAATATTTATCACAACAATTAAATTATTTTTAAAAGCAATAAATTTCTTCTTCGAAATTCAATTATTTTATAAAATTCTAATAAAATCGTTAACTAGAATTCAATATTATATTCATAAATAATAAAATGCTTTTTAAACATTCAATTGTTTAATAAAATATTTATTTTTACAGTTAAATAATTGAATTCTCGTGGAATTTTCTAATAAATATTGATTTAAAAATGAATCTCAAATTAAAATCTTTGAAAATTTGAACTTTTCATACTTTTAATTAAGAATTCTATAAAATTAATTTTTCTCATTAAGTTTAACGGAATTTTTTTTTAATTATTTGAAATTTCTTATTTGTAATATATTTAATTGAAGAATGTCATAATAATCAAAATTTCGTAAAATTAAATTTTTTTAAATATTAAAATTAAAAACTTTTTAAAAAATTGATTTAAAGAAGAATTGTAGTTGAAAATTCTAGAAATGAATAATCGTAATAATGAAAATAATTTTTGAATCATTATTATTTTTTCACAGGAATAAAAAATTTCATATTCAAACCTTTTTGAAATTTAGCAACTTATAATAATATTCTTATATGTTATTGAATTTCAAATTTTTGAATATCATAATTTCTATAAGAAAATAATGATTAAATATTAATTTAAAATTAAATTATTGATGTTTTGGAATAATTTTCGTTTTAAAAATATGGAAAAATTCCGTTTTTTAACCTGGAAAAGTCAGGGAATTTGAAAAGAGTAAAAGTGTAGCAACCCTGATCATTTAATTGACTCCAATAAATATTATTTGCTTCAAGTAAATATTTCATTGAAAATTGTCAAGCAATCGGCTAATTGAATCAAATAAATTTTTTTCAGTGAATTAATATTATTAATATTATTATTAGTAATGATATTTATTATATTAATAATTAGTAATATTAATAATTTATTTATTTATTCATTTATTATTTATTATTTACAATAATATTAATTCACAGAAAAATTTTTTTTTTAGTTATTTGAATTGGTAATTATTAATCGCAGTAATAATTAAGAAGAGAGAGAGAGAGAGAGAGAGAGAGAATTAGAGTATAAAATAATAATAATAATTAATTTTGTGAATTTTTGCAGAATTTTGTCCTATTTGGATGTGGTATCATTGTGCCGATGTGCCCAAGTGAGCAAGGCCTGGAATGTATTAGCTCTCGATGGATCTAACTGGCAAAGGATTGATCTGTTTGACTTTCAACGAGATGTAGAGGTAATTGAGGCCATTCGTAGGTTGAGCTAAATTTATTTCAATAATTGAATAATCAAATGAATCATTTTCCTCAGTTTAGCGCACAATTCTATTTATTATTATTGACAATTTTCTATTTTATTTTCCCCTCAAAGTAGTTTTTTTTTTCGTGCGAAAAAAATTTAAGGGAATAACGAATCGGTGAAATTTTAATCCATCGAAATTTACGTTTGCTGATAGATATGTCAATTTTTTTTCTGACGTTTTTTGTCAATAAAAATTAAATAAAAATGAAATTAGAAAGAAGAATTATTTTTAATTATTTCAGAATTTTTATTTTACCAAAAAAAAAAAAATATATAAATATTTATTAAAATTAAAAATCATTGAATTGTTGCGAAGGATTTCATTAAAAAATTTGAAAATAATTTAATTTCTTCGAAAAATGTTATCATTTATGAAAATAATTGAATTCTTGCACAAAATTTTATTTAAATTATTGATAATCTTAATGAAATTCTTTTGAAGGATTTTTTTGAATATTTCTTAAATAATGGAGGTTTTTATATATAATAATTTTAATTGAAAATTTTGAAAGTTATTAAATTTTATGAAGAATTTCATTCAAATTTTTAAAATAATCGTGCTTATTAATAATTGAAAATAAAATATTTGATTATTGAATTCTATTAAAAATTTAGAAAATAAATTCTACTCAAAATTTTATTATAATTTTTTTTTTTAATAATTTAATTCATTCAAGGAATTTGAATTGAAAATTTTGAAAATTTTGAAAATAATTGAATTAAACAGTAAATTTTGTTTAACATTTTAAAATAATCCTTTTTGTTAAAATGATTTTAAAAATAATTCAATTCCTGAAAAGAAATTTATTATTTACGAAAAAAAATTAAATTCTTACGAAGAATTGTGTTATTTTTCTTTATAAAAAAAATTGAATTTTTCCAAAGGATTTATGAAAATTCCAGAAATTAATTGAATTCTTTAGAATAATTTTAAAAAATAATTGAATCCTTTCGAGAAATTTTATTAAAATTCCATTGAAAATAATTCAATTCCTGAAAAGAATTTAATTATTTTTTATTTATAAAAATAAAAATAGTTTAATTTTTACGAAGAGTTTTGTTACCTTTATTTCTAAAAATAATTGAATGGTTTTAAAGAATTTATTAAAATTTCAGAAAATAATTGAATTTTTTCGAACAATTCTAAAAAATAATTGAATTCTTTTGTGCAATTTTATTAAAATTCTATTGAAAATAATTGAATTCCTGCAAAGAATTTTATTATTTATAAAAATAATAATTCAATTATTTTCAAAAATGTATTAAAATTTTTAGAAAATAATTGAACTCCTCCGAAGAAATTTATTATTTATGAAAATAATTGAATTCTTCAGAAGAATTGAATTGAATTTTTTGAAATTCTGCCAAGAATTTTGTTATTTCTGAAAAAAATTAAATTCTTGTCAACAATTTTATTAAAATTTTTGAAAATAATTGAATTCTTGCAAAGAATTTTGGTAATTATAAAGATAATTGAACTTTTGACGAGTATTTTAAAAAAAATTTTGAAAATAATTGAATTTCTGCGAAGTTCTATTACCTTTTGAAAAATAATTGAATTTCTACGAAGAAATTTATTATTTATGAAGATAATTGAATTTCAAGTAACAATTTTATTAAATTTTTTTAAAATCATTGAATTAAGTATAGAATATTCTTTAACTTTTTAAAATAATCGTGTTTGTTAATAATTGAAATTAAAAATTTTATTATTAGAATTTTATTTAAATTGTGTTGAAAATAATTTAATTCTTTGAGAAGAATTTTATTATTTGCAAAATTATTTTAATTCTTCACAATATATTAAATTTTAGAAAATAATTGAATTCTTTACATTAAATTTTATAAAAATTGGTTTGAAAATAATTGAATTCTTCCGAAGAATGTTATTATTTGGGAAAATAATTGAATGCTTGCGAAAAATTTTATTAAAATTTTTGAAAATCAAAAACTGAATTAATTAATTAGTAAATTAATTAATGAATGAATTTTTTAAAATGTCGAATTGGAAATTTGCTAGTATTTAATATTTTTGACTAATTAATTACTTACATTAATTATAATAATTTATTATAATAATTTCTTATTGACAAATGATTCTTTATTTATTTTGGCAGAACGTAAATTTCTATAGAGTGAAATTTTTCTGATCTCTCTCGATAATTTCTCGTTAATCTCGCTAATTATAAGAAATTAAATAAGATGAAAAAAGAAGGCAAAAAAATTGAAAATTACAAAATCAAAATAATAATTTTAAATAATTAATTTAAATAATTTAAATAATTAGTAATAGTAATTAGTAATAAGTAATTTAAATAATAATTTTTTTTATTACAATAATTTAATCATTGTAATTAAATTGATATTTATTGTAAAATGATTAAATTAAATTAATTTAAATATAAATGGACATAATTAATTAGTATTTAGTATAGAAAAAAATAGAGGAGGAAGAAGAGGAGATATAATTAATAAATAGAATAAATTTTTTTTTTTTATTAATTAGTATAAATGAAATTTGAATTGATGGAAAGAATGATTTTTGAAAAATTGCAAATAAATGTTTACAGGGACCAGTTATAGAAAATATTTCAAGAAGATGTGGAGGATTCTTACGGCAATTATCCTTAAGGGGGTGTCAAAGCATTGGAAATCTTTCCATGCGAACATTAGCTCAATCGTGTCCTAATATTGAGGAATTAAATTTGAGCCAATGTAAAAAGATCTCTGACGCTACATGTGGAGCACTTAGTAGTCATTGTCCAAAGCTCCAACGACTGAATCTGGATTCTTGTCCAGAGATAACGGATATCTCATTAAAAGATCTCTCGAAAGGTTGTCCACTTCTTACACACATTAATTTATCATGGTGTGAATTGCTCACCGATAATGGGGTCGAGGCACTTGCCAGAGGCTGCCCGGAATTACGTAGCTTTTTAAGCAAGGGCTGCCGACAACTCACCGACAGGGCAGTCAAATGTTTAGCTCGCTATTGTCCCAATCTTGAGGCAATTAATCTTCACGAGTGCAGGGTATTTTCCATTTTTATTTTTACTCTAATTTTATCTCATTAATTATTTGGGAAAAAATTTTTGTTCTTTTTTTTGTTTTTCAACTATTTATTCTTTTATTCGACTGAAAATAATGTTTTTTTTTAATTCTTTAATTTCGAACTGAAAAAAAAAATTTTTTTTGTCTCGATTATTCTGACAAAATTAATTTATTTACTTATTATTTTATTCCCTTGAACAGAATAATTTTAAAAAATTTTTAAATCTCGATTTGGAAAGAAAATATCTATTGTATCAATTATTGTAAAAAAATTAATTTATTCACTTATTTATTATTTTATTCTTCTGAAAAGAATAATTTATTTCAATTCTTAAATCTCGAATTAAAAAAAATTATTTTTTATCTCAATTATTGAGAAAAAAATTTATTTATTTACTTATTATTTTATTCCCTTGAACAGAATAATTTTTTTAAATTCTTAAATCTCGATTTGGAAAAAAAATCATTTTAATCTCGATTATTGTGAAAAATTAATTTATTTACTTATTATTTTATTCCCCTGAACAGAATAATTTTTTTAAATTCTTAAATCTTGATTGGAAATAAAATATCAATTGTATCAATTATTGTGAAAAAATTAATTTATTATTTTATTCTCCTGAAAAAAATAATTTTTTTAATTCTTAAGTCTCGACTTTGAAAAAAATGTTTTTTATCTCAATTATTGTGAAAAAATTAATTTATTTACTTATTATTTATTTTTTATTATTTTATTTCCCTGAAAAGAATAAATTTTTAAATCTCGATTTGGAAAGAAAATATCTTTTGTATCAATTATTGTGAAAAAGTTAATTAATTTACTTATTTATTATTTTATTTCCCTGGTAAGAATAATTTTCTTTAATTCTTAAATCTCGATTTTAAAAAAATTAGTTTTTATCTCAATTATTATTGAGAAAAAGCTCATTTATTCACTTATTTATTAATTATTGCTTTATTCACCTTGAAAGAATAATTTTTTTAAATTTAAATCTCGATTTTGAAAAAATATTTTTTTTAAACTCTCGTTTAGTTTTACTCCGTTTATTGAAAATGTTTATTTACAAAAATTAAAGATAATTTAATTATTATTTATTATTATATTATTATTACCGTTTATTAAAATTTTTATTTAAAATTAAATTTCTATTTAAATTTTAGTTCATATTCAAATTTAAATAAATTAATTTCTTATAAAAGGGACTTTGAGTAATAAACACGCGAACCGATCAAATTGAAAAAATTAAATATTTAGAAAAATTGTTACATTGAAATTTGTATAACTTTGACAAAAATTAATTATTGTTAATTATTAATAAATTAATTACACTGAAAAAATTTATTTGATTCAAATAGAAAAATATTAAATTAATTACACTAAGAAAAATAATTTGACTCAAATAATAAAGTTATTGGTCCAAATACAATTTATTTAAACTAAAAATTAAAATAAAAATGAATGAAAAAATTAAGTAAATAAATTAAATAAATTATTTATTAATTAATAAAGTAAAAATTGTTTCATTCAAGTAAATATTTATTTAATAATATACAAGTAATCGGCTACTTTATTCTTTTTCTCAATGTATTTTTTACAAATAAAGTGAATTTAAAAGTATTTTTCATTTTCAATGACAAAAAATCGTTTTTCAAGAAAGAAAATTTTTAATTCTTCTTTTTTTCAAAAATAAATCTTATTTTTCAATTTTTATAAAAAAAATAAATATCGTTTTTCATTTTTTTTAATCATTTTCATTACAAAAATGAGGTTTTTCCAATAATAAATTATGTAAAAATGAAAATAGGACAACAATTTTTTATACAATTTTAAATATACAATTTAAAAATAAAATGGAAAAAAGTGTTCAACAAATTTTTTTTTCACTCTCTCGAAAGCATATTGTTGTCCCACTTTCATTTTTACATATTTTATTGGAAAAAATCTCAGCTTTCCAATAAAAATGAGAGAAAAATGTAAAAAGTGGTGATTTTTGTAAAAATTGAAAAATAAGATTTATTTTCGAAAAAAGAGGAGATGGAAAATTCTTTCTATTGAAAAGATTTTGTGACACTTGAGAATTGCACAAAAAATACTTTAAAATTCCCTAGAATAAAAATCTTTCAACAATATTATTTAACAGTGAAAATTAATTATTTGGTAATTAAAATTTGTCGAAATCACACAGATTTCAAAATTTCGGTTACACGTCAGAAATTTAATTCCCACAATTTACAAAATTTATTTGTAGAAAAAAAGTAAATATTTGAGAATTTTGTTACTTTTATTCATATTTTTTATTATATTTTATTCTATATTTTATTAAAATTCATTTTATTTTTTATTTTATATTTTACTTTTTATTTTATATTTTATTTTTTATTTGTTATTTTATTTTATATTTCATTAACAATTTACCAGAGTTTCAAACCAATATCGCAGTAAAATAAAATTTTTTCCTCTATTATTTTTCATGCAGAATTAAAATTTTAGTTTTTTCAAATAAACGCATTTCAAAAACTAAATTTTTATTTTTCAATTAAATGAAAATTCTCCCTTTTTGAAATCAGTCGATTTTTTTTCTTTTTGATTTGATTCTGAAAAATTTCAATTTCACCCGCAAGAGATTTTGTTATTGATTTCTCTTTTTTTTTGAAGTGAAAATTTGCATGTGATGAAAGATTTGAATAATTGCTTTGTTTCAATAGAATATAACTGACGACGCTGTAAGGGAATTAAGTGAGCGATGTCCTCGTTTGCATTACGTTTGTATTTCAAACTGTACAAATCTAACAGATGCATCCTTAGTCACATTGGCACAACACTGTCCTCTTCTCAGTGTCTTGGAATGTGTCGCTTGCAATCATTTTACTGATGCAGGATTCCAAGCACTTGCCAGAGTACGTATTTAAAATGATTTTAGCTATTTTTTTTTCATTTCAGGACAAATCTGGAAATTTTTTTTATTAAATTGTTCTTAATTTAATTTTTTTAATAGTAATTGAAACTAATTTTCCTAATTGTAATTAAATCTAATTTTCTTAATTGAAAATTAAATCTAATTTTCCAAATAGTAATGAAATCTAAGTTTTCTAATTTTTATACTAAAATTTTTCCTAATTGAATTTTTGTATTTTTCCAAATAGTAATAAAATTGAATTTTTCTAATTGAAATTACTTTAGTATAAAGATTAGGAGAATAAAAATTGTGATTTCCCAATTGAAATTATTTTCGCAATTGAAAAAGTTGAGTAAAGTGAAAAATGTAATAAATAATTCGAAATAAATTATTCTAATATAAAAATTGTTTGCGTCATTTAACAGAACTGCAGGTTATTAGAAAAGATGGATTTAGAAGAATGCACCCTTATTACGGACACAACACTTATTCACTTGGCAATGGGTTGTCCAAGGCTGGAGAAATTGGTAAATTGAAAATAAATTTTTTTTTAATTGAAAACAATATTTTTTATTTATATTTTTCATATTTTATATTCTTTCCCTGAAAAAAAAAGAAATACGTTTTTCTTTATTTTTAATATAGAAATAATAAAAGAATTTTTATTTATTCTGATTACAGAGTTTATCGCATTGTGAGCTAATAACTGACGAGGGAATTCGGCAATTGGCTCTATCACCTTGTGCTGCGGAACATCTCGCCGTCTTAGAATTGGATAACTGTCCACTAATCACAGATGCTAGCCTAGATCATCTTTTACAAGCTTGTCACAATCTGGAACGTATAGAGCTTTATGACTGCCAATTAATCACTAGAAATGGCATACGCAGACTCAGGGTACATTTGCACCCATTTTTCATTCTGATTTTAAGTGCTCTCTCTTTATTTATTCTTTTTTTTTGTTTTTTTTGCTAAATTTCTTCACAGAGTTCAAATTTATTTTAATTTTTGGCAAATTTAATTTTAATTTATTGAAAAATTTAGTTTAATCTGTTTCGAAATTAAATCAATTTCTGGCAGATTTGATTTGCTTTCAAAATTAATTTTATCTCTTTTTGATTAAATTTCTTTCAAATTTAAATAAATGTTCAAAATGTATTTTAAGTTTAAATAATGTGTTTTATAATATTTGAATTCCTAGGAAAATTTTATTATTTATGAAAATAATTGAATGCTTGCAAAGAATCTTATTAATATTTTTAAGAATAATTGAAAATTCTATTAAGAAATTTAATTAAAATTGTATTAAGAATAATTGAATTCCTCCAATGAATTCTATAACTTATGCCAATAATTTGTTTCAAAGAGTTTTATTAAAATTTTTAAAAATAATTGAATTCTTGCGAAGAATTTTGCTCTCTATTTATAAAAATAATTGAATTGTTTCAAACGATTTGTTAAAATTTCAGAAAATAATTGAATTCTTTAGAAGTATTTTAAAATAATAATTGATTCCTTTCGTTTTATTAAAATTCTATGGAAAATAATTAAATTGTTGGAAAGAATTTTACTATTTAATTAAAAATAATTCAATTGTTTTGAAGATTGTATTTAAATTTTTCAGAAAATAATTAAATTCCTCCAAAGAAATTTGCTAATTATAAAGATAATTGAATTTTTGACGAGTATATTTAAAAAATTTTTTAAAATAATTGAATTTCTACGAAGAAATTTATTATTTATGAAGATAATTCAATTCTTAAGAAGAATTTTATTAAAATTTGTGAAAATAATTCAATTCTTTCGAAGAATTATTTCATAGAATTTTTTTATTCATTTTTTTGAAAATAATTGAATCGATTTGAAGAATTTTATTAAAAATCTTTTTAAATAATTAATTTTTTTCGAAAAATTTCGTGAAAATTGTGTTTCAAAATAATTGAATTCCTGGGCAAATTTTATTAATTAGGAAAATAATTGAATGCTTGCAATAAATTTTATAAACATTTGTTTTAAATAATTGAATTCTTTTGGGAATTTTTTTTATTAAAAAAGTAGATATTGAAAATAACTAAACTTCGAAAATATTTTGAAAATAATTGAATCGTTTGAAATAATTTTATTAAAGTTTGTTGAATTGCTTTTAAGAATTTTATCAAAATTTTTGTGAATAATTTCTTTATTCCAGCTATTAGCGAAATTAAAGTAGTACAAATATTCTGAAACATAGAAAAAAAGTAGATTTTAGTGTCACATAAATCTAAAAGAAAGTATCCAAATAGTAAATCGTAAAAAAGTAGTAAATTAGTAAGTTTTTATTATACGAGTACAAAGCATGGAATATAAAAGAATTGTAAATTAATTTTTTTGTTTTAGACCCACCTACCAAACATCAAAGTCCACGCGTATTTTGCTCCAGTGACACCGCCTCCGAGTGCTGGCGCCTCACGGCAACGATATTGTCGCTGTTGCGTTATTCTGTGATTTCCTTTAAAAAGAAAAAATGAAATTGAATTGTAGTTGAAACACACATTTGTCCTGAATGACAAGGGGAAAAAAAAGGAAGCCACGGTTCCGCAATCGTCGTTGGATTGCAAGTCGCAGAAAACGTGCAAAATTTTGTCAAACAATACGAGACATATTTTGCTCACTGCCTCCCTAAATAGTGATTGCAGATATATTTGTCAAAGAATCATCTATTGCTATAACTGCGAATTTTGTGCAACGAGTATACACAACATACAGTCATCGTTTAAGATAAATCAAGAGAAAAAAAAACACCATCGAGGACGTCTTCTCACCATCGCCACAATTTGTAGCTATTTTTTTTTATTATTATCATTAATAATATTAATACTAAAATTAATATTAATTATTTTAATTAATATTAATTGAATTAATTAAATAATTAATTAATTAATTAATACTTTAATACTTTAATAACGTGGCGATTATTACGAACGTCTCTCGTCGCACAATTTCATAAAATGTTTTTTTTTTGTCTTAATTTTATTATAGCAAAGAAAAAGGAAAGAAAGACAAATAATGTATTTTTACAGTATTACGATAAAAAAATTTTTGTAATCTGTCAAGTACATTCTACTTTCTATCTGCTACTGGTGGTTTCGTTAAAATGCATTTTAGTATTTTTTGATCTTTATTAATCAGAGGATAGTCGATTTGTTCTATCCTGGACTGGATTTTTAAAATGTCCCATTAAACGCTATAGCGTCTCCTTCTAATGTCCGGACTAATTTCACGACTAAAAGAAAATAAAAAAAAAAAAAAATAAAAAAATACGGACTTTGGAGAGTTCAGACTGACAAACGAATCAAAGCGTTAACTCGATTGACTTTATCAGCAAAAACAAATTGTTGATATTTTATTCCTTAAGACTACATAGATACGCATATGTAAGAAAAATGAAAAAGTGAAAAACAAGATAAGACGATGAGATTTTCGTTTATAATTCCAAATCCAACGAGGATTTCAACAATCATTTCTTGTATCATCAATAGAAAATTGTAAGATTACTTTCATTTTGAAGAGTAACTGTCAAAATCTCGTTTTATCTTTTTTTGTTTTTTTAATTCTCTGTTAATTCGTTTTTTGAATTATTCGAAGAGTAGAAATATTAAATATTTGCTACTATTGGAAATTTTTAATTTTTATTTGTTAGAAAAACAATAATAAATTTAGTAGTGAATTAATGTAATTCATTATTAATTAAGGAAATCAATTATTAATTAATAATAATTAATAATTAATGTAATAAATTATTGATTAATAGTAATTAATAATTAATTCATTAAAATTAATTTTATTAATTTTATTGATAATTTTTTTATTAATATTTTACTAGCGACAATATTTTGTACTGTTAATTATTTTATTATTTATTAATTAAGTACTTTAATTAATCGAAACATGACAATAATTGTTAAAAATAACTAGTAAATTAATTATTGTCGTGTTAATTTTAAATTAATTAATTATTCATCTTCATTGATAGAAGACTTTCAATTTTTAAACCAACAAAATTTATTTTCCAAAAATAATTTTTCTTCAATTAAAATTTTTTGAAATATTCTAAAGAAAACAATTCGCTTTTCAAAATTTGATCTCAAAACGAAAATTATTTTCGAGAAAATATTTTCTTTCGTTAAGTTAAATTTTTTTAAATTTTTAAATTTTTTTGAACATTTGTTCAAAAAGAATTCGAGAAAGAAGGAAAAAGATTAAAGGAGCATTTTGATTGCTCTTCAAAATTGTCGACGAGTGCAGAGATATTTATTCTCGACAAAAATGACAATGTTGAATTAAGACTGCGAAATGCTTGGCTTTTGAAAACTGAAACAGAATTCTCTAATTTGAGAAGATGATATTTTTTTTACGTGCAATAATATTTGAAATTGCCCACCAATATAATATACTCGAAATGTCGATAGGAAAAATTTCGAAAAATTACTGAAAAAAAAGAAAAAATTACGATAAACGTGTAAAACAATTAACATTTTTTAAGCTTTCTAAATGTTAACGTATTTTCATAAATATGTTAAAGGGAAATTTTTTCAACATAAATTTTAAATGCATTCACACGATGCGAAATTTTTGGTCAAGAAAAATTTTTCAATTACGAAGATTCTTGAATTGAAATTTAGTTCATAATTAATTTTTTTCTCATATAATTATTCTATAATATTTATCATATAATCATTATATTATATAGAATAATTACTATATAATATTTGTCATATAATAATTATTACATAATAATTAAAAAATATTTACAAACTTAAAAAAACTTGAAATTTGAAAAAAGAAATAGTTCATTTTTTTGAGTTGAATAATTATTAAAATTTATTGATAATAATAAACAGAAATTAATTTCAAAATTTAATAATATGAAAACACAGATAAAAAAATTAAATTAATAAAATTAAAAAAAACACAATGGAAAAAATTAATTTACTTGATTTTGTTTCTCAATTTTGTTTGAAAAAAAAGAAAAAAATTGTATGAATTATCAAAATATTCGAAGAATCTTAGTATAAAAACAAAATTCGTAAATTCTTGAACGAGTATTAAACTATGAATAAGAATTTGAAGAAAAAGTACTTTAGATGAATGTAAACGTAGATGATAAGGACTTCTTTTTACGAAAAGAAATTCATTAATCGAAAATGAAGAAAAAAATGCCATTTAACACAATTCTATTCTGGTTAGTCAACACCAAGCAATTCAGAACCATAAAATGTTTTAATTCAACAACAAAATTATACAAAAACTCAATAATCTACGAGTATTCAATGGGGAGGTTTTAAAATTTGAATTTTTATGTTGCTTACTTTTTGTATTCTTCGTTCATTGCAAAGGATAAAAAAGAGAAATTTTAATTTCATTTGTTTATAATGACAGTTAACTGAAAAAAATTTTTTTTATTCAAATCACTGATTATTATTGAATGAATATTTATTTTTCTCAAATAATTGTCAATTTTATCAAAAATATTTGTTTAAATCAATTAAATCGTATTTCCTTGAAATACTAAAATTATTAGTTCAAATAAAATTTATTTCATTCAAATCACTGATTATTATCAAATAAATATTCAATTTCTTTCAAATAATTTTCATTTGTATCAAAAATATTTATTTAAATCAATTAAATGATATTTCCTTGAAATACTGAAATTATTGGTTCAAATAAAATTTATTTCATATACAAATAAATATTTTTTTGAATCAAATAAATAAATAAATAAATAAAAACTATTTGATGCAAAGAAATATTTTTTTTATAAAAAAAAAACATTTTTTTGAATCAATTTTTTGATGCAAATAAATATTTTTTGATACAAATAAATATTATTTATTACAAATAAATATTTTTTGATACAGATAAACATTTTTTTGAATCAAATAAAAATTATTTGATATACAAATAAATGTTTATTTGATAATAAAATCGTTTATTTGAATCAAATAATTTTTGTTCAGTGTTAAATTAAATTTTTAAAAATTCTTTTGAAAATTTTGAGTGTAATGTGCCTAATTTCAAATAATTATCATAAAAAATCTTTCAAATTTAAATTCAACCAAGAAATTATTAATGATTATTTTTAACCTACTTGAAAAATTTCCATTTTACATTTTATTTAAAAATTATAATCCAAATTATTGTTTGGTATTTTAATTAAAAATAAAATAAATTGAAATGAATTATTTTAGCTGCAATGAAAATAAAAAGAGTAAGTGACAAAAAAATTATCTCATTCTCTCTCTAAAAAAAAAAATCATGTATTCAAATACAGTGAAAAATCGAGCCAACGCAAAAGTGAGCAAATAATAATAATAATAAAAATAATGATAACTCACAGCGTAATCGTAATGCGTTAGGTTAAATTAAATGTCTCTGATTAAAAAAAAAGTATCGGTTGCTAACCTTGGTAGCGTTTAAGGGAGTACTGCGTACGTACTCTAATAACTATAGGGCATAAAAAAATAAACGGATGGATAAAATATAATAGATATACAACACTTCATAAAAAAAAAATTATAGATAAGATATGTTTTATACGCTGCATGTCGTCCTTAGAGGAATATGTGATCATTGTAAAGTGTCGTACGAAGTCAGATATATATGTGTAATTTTCAAACTAATGTACAATTATATCGGTCCAATCCTATACATTGCCAAGGATTTCCGGTATTTGCGTGCAATCTCCTCTGATGTCAGTAAATTTTCTACTTTCATTCATTATTTTTTTCTTCTATTTTTCTATTTTCTTTTTCTATTTTTCTCTTTGAAGTATTTTGTATTTCTTTTTAATTTTTTATTAATTTTATATCCTCTCATTTAAATACTAGTTTATCTATTATTTGAAATTAATTTTTTGCTTTTTTTTATTTTCTATTCTTTCCTATTTTTTTCGTTTTTCTTTTTTTTGGTTTTACGTTTTTTTCCACTTTCTTAAATTTTTATTTTTCATATTTATTTCTCTCATTTCGTAATGTTACTGATACCCCCCTCCTCCGCATATATTCATCCCTCTCTATAAACGAGAACACAGTAGGTTTAACTAGACGCAACAATTAGGGGTGAATTTTTTTTTTAAAAAGAAAGTTGTCGCATTCATGAGCCTAACGTGTAAATATATTTTTTTCTACTCGAGGAATAAATTTCAGAGGCAAATATTTTGTAACTTTTGTTTCAAACTATATTTAAAGAGCTTACAATTTTAGCAAATAAATTTTTATATTTATTGTCATTTGCAAAATAAATTTATTAAATATTTTTAGCAAAAAAGCAAAATACAAAAATCGCACACAAAAAATTGACAAATATTAAATTACAAATTACAAAGTTTTCAATTTATTAAAAGAGAATTGAGAAAGAAAACTGTATATATTTTTAGTGATAAAAATTTGTCGAGAGTATTTTTCTAATATTTAATTTGTTTAGAAATTAATTTTTATTTGCAAAAAAATACTTTAATTTTCGAAAAATCGCTATTTTTTACGGCACAAAGAGTTTATTTTTGTTAGAAATTTTTACAAAGACAAAAACAAAAATTGATTTATGAATTCGATACATACAAAATTTTTGAATTCAATAAAAATTAAGTAAATTGATTTTAATGAAATTTATAAAAAATAGTTGATATAGAAAAGAGAAATATTTTCAAATAAAGTGTCATATTTGCGACAACTTTCGTATATAAACGCCGAAAATTTCATTTTATATCAAAATGTATTTTTTATTTTTAAATTCACCTTCTCCATCTAATTCACTGTGATTCAAGGCACAAACGAGAGAATTACTATTTTTGAACTAATAAATAATTCAAAAATTTGGTGGAAACGACGTGAAACAGTTCTAGAACGAATCAAATGTTTCTTCTAAATTTCTCGTAGGAAAAAGAAATGAAAGAAATAATACAAAAAAAAGAAAGCAAAATATATTTTTTACCTCTCGAAATTTTGTTTTTCGATTCACGGTGAAAGAGATTTAAATGTGATTATTTTACAATTGCACTCATTTATCGCACCAACTCAGGAATAAATAAAAAAATAAATAAAGAAAGAAAAAAAAAGTGCTAGGAATCAAAGAGTTTTTTCTGTGAAATTCAAAGGTGCCCAAAAAAAACAAATTGAAACTTATATTTTTCTGCAAATAAAAACAAAAAAAAAAAAGAAACAATATTTTCCGGAAAAAACTCAAGGGCATAGGATTCTGATTGTAATTTTTATTTTCTTTTTTGTAAAAGATTGTAAAAGAAAATCGAGAGTGTGGAAATTTTAATTTTTTTTTTCAAAGAAAATTTTTCCCTACCTAAAAGAAATATTTTCATAAGTCGTTTTTTTTCTAATGTTTTCTATTTCAAAATTGTTCCTTTTTTTGATAAACAAACCCCTCTCGCTTAGAAATATAGTCGAAGTGTAATAAATAGTGCAATTGTAAAGAAAAAAAATTTTTTGGGAAGAAAAACATTTTCTTTTTGACTTCAAAAAATGTACGAAGACTCGTGAAAGGTTCAAGATTTCAATTTAAATAAGAGACAAAAAAAAGAAACAAAACAGAACCAGAAAAAAATTGTGATGATTGATGAAAATAAGAATATAAACAATAATATTTAATTAATCCATTACGTCTGACTGTCATTTAACGATTTCGACCACCGTCATTATTAATTGATCACCACTGCTCTTTATTGTGAAAAAAAATCGAGTGAAAGAATCGTTTAAAAAAAAAAATGAAAAAAAACACAAAAAAAAATTCGAATGAACGAGCAAGTGTTTGGCTGTGCAAAAGATGGTACGTACGAACGTTAAACAAAAATATATATAAATATATAAAAATATATATATATATTATTATTATAAATCGGCGAAAGTATTCTGTATCTGTTTGTCAGCGCAATTCGAGAGTCTTGCAGAGAAAGGAATTATATATAATGTATAAATTAATTCAGACCACTGTTCATTAAAAAAATGGCTGAGAGTAATAAAAAAGCACACATACACCATATACACAATCACTTTACAAAAAAGAGGTAATTTAGTAATTCAATTTTTTTATTATTATTTTTTTTGTAAATTTTTTTTTTTTTTTTTTTTTTTTTTTTTGAAAGACAAAAGTCGGCCTACTTAAGTAAATAATAATAAATTGAGTTCAATCTGCTTCTTTTGAAAAGGCGATCAAACAGATTCATTTTGCGGGTACTGTAGCTGATTACATACATAGATCGACATTTCGCTGCTTCGATAAGCTGCAGTTTACCATGTATATATTTTCATCAATGTATGTACAATAAAAATATATTCGAGACAAATTTAAAGAATTTCTCATTTTTACTTTTTGACAATTTTTATTTATTGCTTATTTACATTTTAACAATATTTATTCTTTTGTATTTTCTGACAATATTAATTTTTTTCCTTTCATTTTTTGACAATGTTTTGTTAATTTTCTTTTATTTATTTTAACAACATTTAAAAATTTTTTTTTTTACTTTTTGACAATATTTATTTATTGTCTATTTATTTTTTAACAATATTTATTTATTTTTTGGTACTTTTTGCCAATATTTATTTATTGTTTATTTATTTTTTAACAATATTTATTTACTTTCTTTTATTTTTTAACAATATTTATTTATTTTTTTTAGTTATTTAAGAAATTTATATTATAAATTTTAATTATTATATTTACAATAAATAATAATAATAGTAACAATTAATAAAAATAATAATAAGAATAATAGATTTTTACGACAACCAAGGACTATTTATTTTTGCAATATTTCATAAAAAATAATGTAATGTTTCTAATAATAATATTTTATTTAATTCAATAATTTATTTACTAACTTTAACTAAATATAAATAAATAAATAATAAAATATATCCTAAATTTAAATATATTAATTTATTATTAACAATAAATTAATAAATTTTCTTTATCTCAAATTTTTGAAGTCTCGTAAAAGGTTTGAAAGAAATCAAATTGAAATTGAAAAATTCCAGAGACAAAAAATTTAAAAAAAAATTGAAAGCAAAAAACAAATTAAAAAATAACAAATTAGTAATAATAAAATATAAATAAGGAAATGTTTATTTATATATTTTATTATAAATTTGTTGTTATTATTATTATTATTATTATTATTATTATTATTATTATTATTATTACTGAAAAAATTATTAAATATTAAATATAAATAAAATAAAGAAACAGTAAAATAAATAAAATAGAAAAAAAAATAAAAAAAATAAAAGAAAAGAAAATAACAAAATTTATTTATACAATAGAAAAAATTTAATTTAATTAAATAATAATATTAATACTAATTAAATAATTAATAATGTAATGTAATAATAATTTGAGTACAATAATTTTTCAAACATGAATTTTTGTTCAGAGCGAATTCAAAAGTTCCCGCCAGTGTTTTAAACATCTGCGCGCGATGAAAATGATCAACAGCGCATGCGTCGTGATACTGTTTTGTTTTGACCGTTTTGACAGTTCGAACATAACCTCCCACCAGTGACAAACAGGTGACAATTGTCTTACTCCAAAAATATAAATAAAATACAATAACAAATCTACGTATGAAAATAAAAAGAGAAAACTGTATTCTACAAGAATTTGCACCTAATCATAAATTTATACATTATTTTGATAATTGCAGTTTATCGCAATTAATTTGCGTATTTGGTACGTATCTGTTAACCTATTATAAAACATTATAAACATTTTCGTTTTGCACAATATAAAATTAACTTTACATACGAAAATTCAATTAATTTACATGTTGAATTTAATTTAACGAATTCGTTAATTTAAATCTTAATTTCCTTTACTTTTATTTACTATTTTTGCTTTAAAGATTGCCTGCGACAAGAGATTGCGTGAAGAAAGTCCATGTGAAAAATAACCTCAAAGAAAGTATATATAAAATATTTATGAAAAAATGAGTAAATACAGTAAAAGAAAATCATCGAGCGATGATAGTGATAGTGAGGAAGAGAGGCGAAAGGTTGATATTAAAGAAAGAGACGAATTTGCTAAACGTCTCAAAGAAAAAGATGATGGTAAAGTGCGAAAAATTGCTGTACCGGCTGGATCTGGAGCAGGTATTTATTTCTTTTTTATATTTCGGTACTTAACGTTTATTTTCTTTCTTTCAGTTCGTTTTTTTCTTTTTTTTTTTGAAATTCTTAAATTTTTTAATTAAAATTTGTAATTTTAGCCGAAGCAGCAAAACGACTCAAACTTATGGACGATGTCGCCAGAGAGGATCTCATTCCAAAGCTGCGAGTTGAATCTCGCCGAATGTACTTGGCGAAGAGGAAAGAGGACAAGGTTCAGGAATTGGAGGCTGATATTGTAGATGACGAATATTTATTTGAAGAGAATGTGTACGTTTTTATATTCTATAACCAAAATTTTGCTTCACGGAATATTCTAAATTAAAATTTAGTTTCTAAAAATCGTCAATGATTTTCTGATTAATAATTTAAACGAAATTATAGATTGACTGAGGCGGAAAAGAGGGACAGAGCTCACAAAAAGCAAGTTCTTCAATTAGCCAAAGAGCATGAGAAGGCGAGAGAATTGGAAAGAATACAACGCTATCGAATGCCACTTCAAGATGGTAAAATTGAGCCAGAACAGGATATTGCAGAAAATGAGCCACCACAATCGGAGCAAAGTAAATGGGAATCCGATCAAATGTCCTCGGCTGTCTTTAAATTTGGCGCCAAGGACAAAAAAGGTATTTTCAAATTTAATTCTTCGAATTATTTTCTAAATAAGTAATTTTTAATTTCTAAATTTACGAAAATTAGAATTTCTAAATTATATACTTTAAAATTATCTTATTTAAGAAATAAACAAAATTTAAAATTATATAAGTTTAGAATTTAAATATTTAAAATTCTAAATTATCTTAATTTTCGAATTTTTCTCGCTGTAGCTCAACAAGAATACGAATTACTCTTGGACGATGAAATTGAATTCGTGCAAGCATTACAAATGCCTGGAATTGTCAAAGACAAGAAGAAGGAAACGAGTCAAGCACCACAGGCCAAAGTATTGACAACAATCGAGGAAACACAGAAGAGTCTACCTATTTATCCATTCAAGAAAGATTTAATTGCCGCCATTCGGGATCATCAGGTAATTTGAAAAAATCCTCAAAGTTTCTGCTATTTAAAGAATTTACTATTTTCTAAAAAGAAAGATTTAAAACGAAAAATTAAATCAATTCTAGGTTCTTATTATTGAAGGAGAAACGGGATCGGGAAAAACTACACAAATTCCACAATATCTTTACGAGGCTGGCTACACTGATGGGGATAAAATAATCGGCTGTACTCAGGTGGGAATTAAGAAAACTCTTTCTGTTATTTTTTTCGAATTTTTTAAACTTTTTTTTAGGTTTCTTTAGATTTTTCTTCGATTTTTTTTAGAATTCTTTTAGATTCTTTTTAAAATTCATTTGGATTTTTTAAATTTCTTTTTACATTTGTTTTAGATTCTTTTTAGATTTCAGACTTCACACTCGATAATTAATTTTTAAAAAGTAGCAAAAAGTATCTTTCAAACTAAAAAAAAAGTAGTTTTTTGCGAAGCCTGAGATTTATTTAGATTTTTTTTTTGAAATTTATTTACATTCATTTTCGTTTTTCTTTGTGATTTTCCTCTTTAGAAGCGAAACTATTTTTCCATTTTTTGATTTCAGCCGAGAAGAGTGGCGGCAATGTCAGTGGCTGCTCGTGTAGCTCACGAAATGGCCGTGAAACTAGGAAATGAAGTCGGTTATGCGATTCGTTTCGAAGACTGCACCTCTCAAAGAACGCGAATTAAATACATGACTGACGGTACATTGCACAGGGAATTTTTGAGTGAACCCGATTTAGCCTCTTACAGGTATTCAAAATTATTCTCTCAACTATTTAAAGTACACATGAATTTAAATCTATTTATTTGTGTCTCATAAATTTAAATTCAAAAAATTCGAACGTTTGAATGAACGATTTTTTTCTATTTAAATATTTACTAAAATTACTGGTTACAAAAAAGCAAAATATAATAAATTTAAATTCAAATTTAAACAAATCAAAACAAAATATAATAATAATTTTAAATTCAAATTGGTTTCTTAAAGTTTCGAAAGTTTAGACGAACGATTTTGAATTAATTTTTCTAATTTATATTATTTTGTAACGAAATTCGAATTTTAATTTAAATAATTGTCGCTAATCTGAAAGTTCGAAACTTTGGGAACACATTTACAGTGAGATTTATTTTAATTAATAGAAAAATTTTCTCTTTTGATTAGTGTCATGATTATTGACGAGGCTCACGAGAGAACATTGCACACGGACATTTTATTCGGCCTCGTAAAGGACATAACGAAATTCCGAAGCGATTTGAAATTGTTAATATCCTCAGCCACATTGGACGCGACGAAATTCAGTGAATTTTTCGACGACGCTCCTATATTCCGAATTCCGGGCAGAAGATTTCCGGTGGATATTTATTACACAAAAGCGCCAGAGGCGGATTACATTGACGCCTGTGTCGTGTCGATTCTTCAAATTCACGCCACTCAACCGCACGGCGATATTCTCGTCTTCCTCACAGGACAGGACGAAATTGAAACTTGTCAAGAGATGCTACAGGAAAGAGTTCGACGACTAGGTTCAAAATTATCCGAATTGATAATATTGCCCGTCTACGCAAATTTGCCGAGTGATATGCAAGCGAGGATATTTATGCCCACACCGGCCGGAGCGAGAAAAGTCGTTCTCGCGACAAATATCGCCGAGACTTCGTTGACAATCGATAATATTGTCTACGTGATTGATCCCGGTTTTGCGAAGCAAAATAATTTCAATTCACGAACGGGAATGGAGAGTTTAATGGTGGTGCCGATTAGTAAGGCTTCGGCTAATCAGAGAGCTGGACGAGCGGGTCGTGTTGCTCCGGGTAAATGTTTCCGTCTCTACACCGCCTGGGCGTATAAACACGAATTGGAGGACAACACTGTACCTGAAATTCAGAGAATTAATCTCGGCAATGCTGTTCTAACGCTAAAGGCGCTTGGCATCAATGATTTGGTGCATTTCGATTTTTTGGATCCACCGCCGCATGAGACTTTGGTTTTGGCTCTGGAGCAACTCTACGCACTTGGGGCACTGAATCATCATGGGGAGCTGACGAAACTTGGACGTAGAATGGCGGAATTTCCACTCGATCCAATGATGGCGAAAATGTTGATTGCCAGTGAAAAGTATCGTTGCTCGGAGGAAATAGCGACAATTGCGGCAATGCTCTCGGTGAATGGTGCTATTTTCTATAGACCGAAGGATAAACTCATTCATGCGGATACGGCTAGGAAGAATTTTCATGTTCCTGGTGGTGATCATCTTACGTTGCTCAATGTTTACAATCAGTGGCAACAGTGTGATTTTAGTACTCATTGGTGTTATGAGAATTTTATTCAACATCGGTAAATAATTTTTCCAAACACAATTTTTATATAATAAGAGAGATTTTGGAATTTTTCGAATATGGAATTTATATTAAATTTATATCCATCTTGTATTTTTATATATTATAATTAATATATGTAATTTGAATTACAGTTCAATGAAGAGAGCTAGAGATGTGAGGGATCAATTGGTTGGTTTAATGCAACGAGTCGAAATGGATCTTGTTTCAGGCATTACTGAAACAATTAACATCAGAAAAGTAAATTATCATTTTATTATTTTCAATTTTAATTCATTAATTTATTCTTCTATATTTAATCTTCTAATAATCGTTGTAATCAAATTCCGAAATTTAATTGAAAATAATTGAATTCTTTTCAAGGAATTTAATTGAAAATAATTAAATTCTTCCCAAGGAATTTAATTCAATTATAAAACATGAAGAAATCGATCATCGATCGATTTCTTCGTGTTTTATAATAATCAAAGATCAAAGATAATCGAGTGATAAAATCGTTACTGGAATTTAATTAAAATTGTACTGAAAATAATTGAATTCTTGTAAAGAATTTTATTAATATTTTTAAAAATAATTGAACTTTTTAAAAAATTTTATCAAAATTTTTAAAAATAATTGAATTTTTACTAGCAATTTTATTAAAACTTTTAAAAATAATTAAAAATTTTATCTAGAAGTTTTATTAAAATTGAATTTTATAACTTATGAAAATCATTGTTTCCAAGAATTTCACTAAATTTTATAAAAATAATTAAATTTTTCAGAGAAATTTAATTAAAAATGTAGGTGTTGAAAAAAATGATTAATTTCCTGCGAAGAAAAGATTAAAAGACTATTATTAATATTTTTAAAAATAATTGAATTAATTTGAAGAAATTTATTAAAAAATTTTGAAAACAGTTAAATTTTTTCCAGAAATTTGATTTAAGTTGTTTAAAAAGTCATTAAATTTCAGCAAAGAAAATCTGTATTTTTGAGGATAATTCAATTCTTTGGAAAAACTTTATTAAAATTTGTGAAAATAATTGAATTCTTTCAAACAATTTTATTGCAATTTAAAAAAAAAATCTAATTTTTTTCGAAAATTTTTATTAAAATTATATTGAAAATAATTGAATTCCTGCGAAAAAATTTATTATTTATGAAGATAATTGAATTCTTGGAAAGAATTTTATTAAAATTTTTGAAAATAATTGAATTTCTTTTCAATAATTTTGAAAATGATTAAATTCTTTCCTGCAATTGAAATTTATTGCATTAAAAATAATCGAACTCCTTCGAAGAATTTTGTTATTAAGAAGATAATTAAATTGTTGTCAAGAATTTTATTAACAATTTTAAAAATCATTGATTCCACGAATTTTATTACAATTTTTTTGAAAATAATTGAACTTTTTTTTAGAAATTTCATTTAAATTGTATAGAAAATAATTGAATTTAAAAAATTGATTCTTTTCGAAAATTTTTACTAAAATGGTTTTGAAAATAATTGAATTCTTGGAAAGAATTTTATTAAAATTTTTTTGAAATAATTCAATTCTTTCAAAGAATTTTAATAATATTTTTAAATGTAAACGAATTCTTCTAAAGAATTTCATGAACAATTTATAAAAATAATTTTATTCTTTCGAGAGATTTTATTAAAATTGTATTGAAGATAATTGAATTTCTGCGAAGAAATTTATTTTTAAAGATATTTTAATTTTTATGAAGGATTTTATTAAATTTTGTAAAAATAATTAAATTCTTTCGAACAATTTTATTGACATTTTTAAAAAAGAATTGATTCTTTTCGAAAATTTTTACTAAAATGGTTTTGAATATAATTGAATTCTTGGAAAGAATTTGATTAAAATTTTTAACAATAATTCAATTGTTTCAAAAAATTTTATTAATATTTTTAAAAGTAAATGAATTCTTCTAAAGAATTTTATGAAAAATTTATAAAAATAATTTTACTCTTTTAAGAAATTTTTTTAAAATTGCATTGAAAATAATTGAATTTCTGCGAAGAATTTTGTTATTAAAAAGACAATTGAATTCTTGTCAAGAATTTTACTAACATTTTTGAAAATAATTGAATTTTTTGGGAAAGAAATTTGTTATTTATAAAAGTAATTGAATTCTTGTCAAGAATTTTATTAAAATTTTTGAAAATAATTGAATTTTTCGGATAAGAATTTTGTTATTTATAAAAGAATTAAATTCTTACGAAGAATTTTATTCAAATTTTTTAAAATCATTGAATTTTTTGTGAAAAAAATTTGATATTTATAATAATAATAATTGAACTCTTAGGAAGAATTTTATTAAAATTTTCGGAAATAATTCAATTGTTTTGTATAATTTTATTAATATTTATTATAAATAATGAATAATAATTCAAACTGAATATTAATTTTAACTTAATTTTAGTATTTTTACTTTGAATTTAATTTGAGTTAATTTGAATATTATATTTTATCTTTAGTCAAATTTGAACATTTTTAAAAATTTTAATTTTATTAACACACTTTTTCTTTAATTTACAGGCAATTACAGCCGGATATTTCTATCATGTGGCACGATTATCAAAAGGTGGAAATTACAAAACTGCGAAGCATAATCAAACAGTCTCGATTCATCCCAACAGTTCACTTTTTCAAGAATTACCACGTTGGCTATTGTATCACGAATTGGTGTTCACTACAAAAGAATTTATGCGTCAGGTACTTGACAATTTTCCCAATATTTAAAGAATTTTACCGAATTTACTAAAAAGTAATTAATTGTATTCAGAAATTCAATTAAATTACAAATTGTAATTAATTAGTAATTTAAATTTATTTAAATTCAAGAAATTTATATTGAAACACAAAAACGAATCGAAATTACGAAATAAAATTTTTTTCCCCTATTGCAGGTTACCGAAATTGAAAGTAAATGGCTTTTGGAAGTCGCTCCCCATTATTACAAACCGAAGGAACTTGAAGATTCGACAAATAAAAAAATGCCTAAGGAAATTGGACGTTCGGGTCCAGATGGAACAAATTAATTAATTAATTGTTAATAATTGAATTTATCAAGTATGTATTATATATTGTACAGACCAAATTTTTTCTCATCGAGGAAATCAATGATAAGTGTACGTAGTTATTTAAATTTTTGAAACTTTTTTATTAAAAGAAACAAATTTCATAATTTTATTCTTCGTTTCTTTGTCTCATTTTCTTCTCAATATTTTTTTTGTCTATTAAATAAATTTTCTATTCTATTAAATAAATTTTCTACTCTATTATATAAATTTTCCATTCTCTTAATTTTCTATTAAAGTAGAAATTCAATTAAATTAGAATTAAAAAATTCTAATTTTATTCCGTCTAAAAATAAAGTGCAAATTTTTTTCTCATTCAGTTACTAAACAGAAAGTTGGAGTTTAATTCAGAAATTGTTTTCAAGTATAGTTGACTTTTTTTTTGCAAGTCTCACTTTATTCTCCTTTTTAATAAATAATAATGTACTTGCGAGTCATTATACAAAATTGCCATTGGAAATAATTCAGCAAAATTCTAATGCTTTCTACAATATAATTCCTCTTTAATGTTGGAGAAATGGAAAAGTTATAGAACTTGGCGATAAGCGGAAATTATTAATGAAACTATTGCCTTCAAGGGGAGAGATAAAGCGACTTAAATGGGAAAAATAATTTTAAATTCATAACTTCTCAGTAATATGGACAATTCTACAAAATAATTTACCCTACTTGAGGGAAATTTTGTTTCGACGTTTACAGTCATCTTCAGACCATCAATAACGATTTATCTGAGGACTTTCATTATACACAATGTTCTCATTCGAAAATATTTATTAATCTAATAATTATTACTCTAATTATTTTTCGGAAAAAAAAATTACAAGCAGAATCTGTAAGTTAATTTTGACAAATTATTTTCTTTCTCTCGTGTTTTCTCTGAAACGGTAGAAATATTTTAATAAAAATAAATTCTTCAAGAAATTATTCACGAATAATAAATAATTTGGCAATTATTAATTTTTTTCTGTCAAAATTCGGTAAACAAAACCTAATAGTAATTAATTATTAATTATGTAAATAATAATTATAATTTCAAAAATTAAATTTTGAATAATGTCTTTTCGATTGTTTTAGAAATATTTTGCAAATTACTGTTGTTATTATTGTTATCGTAATTTTTTTCTATTTTTTTTTTTTTTTTGGGTAAAAATGTATCGAGCGGATATTTCACTGGAAATAATGAAATATTTCGGTATATGGAGACCAAAATATTTCTTGAAAGGAGGGCAAATATTGTACAATACTTTTAGTATTATTATGGTGGTAAATGTTTATATTTTTACCATTTCAACATTACTCTACTTATTTTTGTCGAATCCAAATTTAGAGGATTTCACTGAAAGTTTATTCTATGTTCTTGCTTTGTGCACGGCTTGTGTTAAAATAGCAATTGTTTTATTAAAACACAATGAAATAATAGAATTGCGAAATATGCTTGTCGATCCAAAATGCCATCCGCAAGATAAAATTGAGTATAAAATTCAAAACAAATTTGACAAAACTGGAAGGTATTGGAAAAATTTATCCTTTTCAATTAAATTCAGAAATTAAGTTAAATTCAGAAAAAAAGAAGTTAATTTCAATTAATTGGATAAATTAGTTTCAATTCATTGAATTATTTTCAATTTGCTAAATTATTTTCAATTCATTAAATTATTTTCATTTCATTAAATTATTTTCAATTTGCTAAATTATTTTCAATTCATTAAATTATTTTCAATTCTTTAAATTAGTTTTTAATTAATTAAATTAGTTTCAATTCGTTAAATTATTTTCAATTCATTAAATTATTTTCAATTCTTTAAATTAGTTTCATTTAATTAAATTATTTCCAATTAATTAAATTAGATTCAATTCGTTAAATTATTTCTAATTCATTAAATTAGTTTCAACTAATTAAATTAATTCCAATTAATTGAATAAGTTAATTTCAATTCAAAAAATAATTAAATTATTATTACAATATTATTTTACAGTTAGAAAAATTTTTTCAGTAAATAAACTTCTGAAAGATTTACCTTATTTTTGCAAATATTTTTTCTTCTTTTTCATTTAATAATTTTTTTTCTTTTTTTCTTCTTTTATCTATATTTTTTATTTTATTTCCATTATTATTATTATTATTATTATTATTATTATTATTATTATTATTATTATTATTATTATTATTATTATTATTATTATTATTATTATTATTATTATTATTATTATTATTATTATTATTATTATTATTTTTATTACTATTTTTATTGTTATTATTTATTTATTTATTAATATTATTGTGGATAATAATTTTTTTTTCAAATAGGAAAATTACAATTGTCTTTTTGGCGTTTGCTTCAGTGACAATAATATTGAAAGCATTGGCGCCATTATCGAAAGGTTCCAATGCAACATTACCGTATAAGGCATGGACTCCGTATAATCTTGAGAATAGATTAATTTTTTGGTCCACGTATTTAATTCAAGCAATTGGATCAACAACCGCTGGACATATTACAATTGCAGTCGATACATTTATAATGGCAATGATGATTGAACTTTGTTCACAATTGGAAATTTTAATGTATCGTATCAAAAAATTACCTGAATTTTATTTGAAGACAAATAATTATAGTGACGGAGAACGAAGACAAAAAATTGTCCTTGGAATGTGGATTCAGCATCACGAGTCCATTTATCGGTATATAAATTTTTCATTGATTTTCCTGCAAAAAAAAAAAAAATTTTCTAAATTTTGAAATATTACATTTTTACTAACAATTAGAATTTATATTCAATTTATTTAATTTTCGTTCGTAAATTAAAAAAAAATTCGGGAAATAAAATAAATAAATTTATATTAAATTTACGAACTATATTTTTAACTTTTTTTTTTAAACTGAAATAAAATAATAAAAGGAACAATTAGTAAAATCATTTTTAATTTTTACTTTAGAATTTAATTTCAGGGAATAGAAAATAAAATTCTATTTCTTAATATTTAAATTCACTGAGTGAAAGGAAATTTAAATAATAAAAAGAATAATTAGTAAAATATTTTTTGCATCATTTGAATTTTATTTCAATGAATTCTTTTTTTCAATTATATTTAAATTAATTGACAGTTTAAAATAATTTAATTTGAATTAGAAATTTTATTTTCGATTTTAGGGTCACTTGACTAAATTAATTAACAAAAAATTGTAAAATAAAAAAAATAAATAAAAAGTAAATAATAAAAATAATAAATAATAATACAAAAATAAATATAAAAAATTTTGTCTCTGAAATATTGTTCGATTATTTAAATAATTAAAAAAATGAGTAAAAAATAATTTGATTCCAGTTTTGGAAGAAGTCTAAATAGTATATACAATTTAGCGTTTTTCTTTCAATTGTGCGCGAGTACAATTGACGTATGCACGAGTACATATTTACTGACAACAGTAAATGTCACAACAACAACATATTGGACAATGGTTTTTTCCCTAAGTGGAATTATGCTTCAAATCTGCTTATATTGTTTGCCAGGAAATGTTGTCATGGAAAAAGTAACTCGAACATATTTTTTTTTTTTTTTTTTTTTTTTTTTTTTTTTTTTTTTTTAATAATTCGTTTGAAAGAAAAGTAAAAATATTTTTAATTTTAATATTTTTTTAGAGCAAAGCAATTGGATATGCAGTTTATAGTTCGGACTGGATTTTATTGCCAAGTAGCACGAGAGTAAATTTTATTCAAATAATAAGAAGATCTGGAAAACCAATTAAATTTACAGCCGGAAATGTCTTTCCAATGACGATTGAAACATTTACTTCTGTTAGTATTTTATATTTGTTTATAAAAGAAAATAATTTTTAAAATGGCAAATTTTTTGTTTTTTATTTTTTATTTATCGATAAAAACATTTTTAAAGTAAATTTTACTTTCAGATTCTGAGAATGTCTTTTTCAATATATAATGTTTTGACCCAAAATTCAAAATCTGTGAATTGATAATGAAAAATAATTTTTCATCGCACAAAATATTTGAGAAAAAAAAATCTTTAATTATTTTAACGTCGAATTTACATTGCCAGAGGAATTTTTTTCAAAGTGAAAGTGAAAATTTACAAAAAAAACAACAAAAAAACTATATTTTTTATTTCACTTCGTATTTTTTTTTAATTACGATTATAAGTAAAGTACGTACATAACTAATGTGCATAATATCAATTACTACAGAATTATTATATTCTATATATTATTTTTATTTATAATAATTTGAAAATTATTTTTCAATCTATTTTCATTATTATTATTTTTTAAATTATTTTTAATAATATTTTTCAAGTTATTTCTAGTAGCATCATTTTTTAAAAGTCATTTCAAATATTATCCTTTAAAAGTTATTTTCAATATTTATTTTTTAAACTTATTTTTAATACTATTTTTCAAGTTATTTTTAATAATTATTTTTAAGTAATTTTAAAGTTATTTTTAAGTTATTTTTAATATTTTGTACTTTTCAAGTTATTTTTAATATTATTTTCCAAGTTATCTTTAATATTATGTTTCAAGTTTTTTCATTTTTTTATCATTTTTTAATAACATTCTCATTTTTTAATAATATTTTGTTGAAAATAATAATATTATTTTTCTACTAAAAATTTTGAATGTTGAACGAGTTTTTTTACTGGTTAAATATTTTTAAAAAATTACCACACTGAATTGAAAAATAGTGTAAATTTAATATTTACTTTATTTAGAATTATTATTTTTAATATTCAAAATAGATAATATTTTTTTTTTAATAAAATGCAAAAAATAAAATTAGTAACAAAAATATCAGTGTTCATTGGAAAGTTCAAAAATTTAGGGAATTTTTTATTTGCAAATTAATAATACTGTCAATTTTTAAATAACAATAGTAACAATAATAATTGTAATTATAATTATAATAATGATAATAATAATAAAATACAAATAAGAATAAAAATAATAAAAATAATAGTAAGAATAATAAGAATAATTATTTTAATAATTATATTAGAAATCGTATTTGTAAGATTTATAAATAATTATAAAATAGTAAAAATACACAATAAATTTTATAAATTTATAAATTGAAAACTTTTTCACAATAAAAC